CACTGTCCTCAAAGGCATCATCAAATTTCATACTGCCTTACTGTTTTCCAGTCATAGAGTATACTGATCTGCCTCAATATTAAACTAAATATTTGTTGTCAGTCCAAAACTTCATACAGCAGTTCTTTCAATCTGTGTCCCTGCATGTTAGCACTAAACAGTCTTGTATTATCAAACAGTATCAAATAGGAACTCTTAATGACAAAGGTCCAACAATTCTGCATAACTGCATTTTACTATGAGCGGTTTAAAATTATAACTCACACCCACAATCAAAAAGAACCTTTGAGACTTGTATCTCTGCCCATTATTTTAAACATACCTATAGTAATTGGTGGTGTTAATTATAACCATCAAGTTCCTTCTCAAATACTGGAAGAAGGAGGTTAATTAAGATGGTAGGGAAGGAAAGACATTCCTTACTATTTGAATTTCAAGTCATGCAGCTTCTCATTATTACTGCCTAATCATTTCATTTCTAGAAAGAAACCCGAGTACTAAAAGCCAACTAGTCTAAAAGCAAAATCACAGGTACTAAGACATAAGCATCCACTAAGAAAGATAATGCAATACAGAAATGATCTGACACTGTAAATTTTAACCCTTCACCAAAGTCAATTTACTGGAAATTGAGAGGCATACTTCCCAAATGGTCATTCCTGGGAAATGAGTCAAAGCAGAGCAATAATGGAAAATTCCTACATGTTTATACCAAAAGTTGCAAATAAACTTGCATTATTGCTCAATAGACACCTATTAAACACACCCAAACATGGTATGTGAGCACATTCTGTATATGTTAGAATGACAACTAACATTGTTCCCCATGTGGAAAGCTTACGTATTATAGCCTTAGAAAGACAGAGGTAACATCAGAGACAGAAGTGAATTAACCTTATCATAAAATTCAAACACCCAAAATTTTTGGGGAGGCTTCAAGAAAACCTGGATATAATTAAAATCAAGTGCAACACTCCATACCAAGAGCAGCCAAGCCTTTGTCTCAAATGTATTTTTGAAAGAACATTTCCAACTCTTAGCTTACATGCACCTTCTATTCTTTGCCTGGACTTTGGACATGTTCCATCTGAATACTGAAACACATAATGGGGGAAAGACAAGAAAGGCCATTTCAGCCTTGTAGATCTATTTGAACTGTAAGCAATGTAGTGGAATGTGTGTGTCTGTACTCCCATGTGAACTTTCTTGATAATGATGACCTAAGAACAGCGTATACCACAAGTTATACTGATTAACTCTTTGTGGTACCATCAATACAAATTTCAGATTCAGCAAAACTGTAGCATAAATGCTTTTAAATAAAAACAATGAAGAAAAAAAGCCTATTACTTTACTACTCTGCCAAAGCCAAAAATCCAGGAGAAAAATGGCACTGCTCTCTTGAAATTAAGTCTTATTTACAGTTGGTCAGGCTACTGATATTCTTTAGGATAAGCTCTTAATAAGAACAAATTTGCAGGAATCAAATTATGCAGCTATCTTCAGGTTTCTCAGTAGGTAGAAAGTCCCTCAGGTTATTTCCATAAGCAAAATCCACCTTCTTTCTTTGCCCAGTTTTAGCATATTTGGTTTTCACTCACAGTGCTACAGATACAACCACTGGGCAAAGAACGTACCATCTAGCAGAATGATAAAGAGACCTATAGCTATAATCTTCAGAGTTGCAGTTTGGTAACAAAGTTTGATGAAAATCAGCTGTGTGGGCTGTATAAAGATCCTGTTGCTACAGAATGAAAAGAAAGTCATATCTCTATTCTCACTGTTCTCCAAAAGGTTCAGTGTTTGCAGACACCATGAATGTTATACCATCATTTTAAAGACATCACTTAGTACTAGTTCAAAATACGTAAGCTGTTCTTTTCAGTGTGTTGATAGCTTGTAAATTTAGACTATTTAATCTATCATGTTTGTATTAAATTTAAATCCACCTCAAATTTACTAGTCTTGAGCATCTGTGCAGTGCCAACAATATATAAGAAATGACAACTTAGGAATATCTATTTGCTTAAACTCAAAGCAAATTTCTCTTGAGTTTCTTCTTACCCTTGATGTTTCATTTCTTTGACGTTATTTTTCTCTATAATCCCCCTATGCCTTTAAAAGAAAGAAATCCTCTTGCAGTAAGAATTCTGCATTCAGATAGCTGCTACATGACAAAGCAGTGCTCAGTGTTTTCCAGACTGATGTCATTAGAATGGAAGGACTCTGATTCCATTTGTGATACTGAGTGGATGAAGGCCAAGCTTTGAGCATTCTGCTTTTCCCCATTCACTTTCCACTATTTGTGGTAGAAAAGTATAATCCCATCTACGAACATAAAGCATACTTATGTATACATGCATATTAGCCTAATATTAGTTCAAAGTATAACATATATCCAAACCTAGAGCTTTTATAAATCACAACCAGGTACCACTAGCCCACAAACATACAACCCTGAAAAATTCCCAACCTTAATTTTCCACTAATACATTGAAGTTCTTTAAAAGGAGAAAACATTGTACCCTATGCTCTAAAAGAGGTGATCCTGTTCAGTTCCAATTCTCCAAACTCAGACAGGAGAGAAAAATTCAACAGATTTCAGCAATAACAGTAAAAGCTGAGAAAGTAAAAAACCCAGAAAACATATTTAAAACATTCACAGACACAGTATGTCTTTTTATTCATGTATCTTGTATCTACATCTAGTCATTTCAGAAAGCACCTTCATTTTAATAATGTATTACTACATTATTAAATACATCTTTTTTACTTTGTCTTATGGATAATCATACCATGGCATATGGATATTTAATTTCTTAAAAATATAGAATTATCCATTGACCTGGCATCCAGAAATGAATAAAGTATGGAGCAAAATCAGATCTATAAATCAATGTCTTGATAGGAGAAAAAATTTTTCTAAAACAACACAGAAAGACTTCACTAGTGGGGAAAATCTGTTCAGAGCAAAACTTATTTTCCTTCAATACGTGCCTAGCCGATTCCCAGACTGACCACAGACCTGAGTTACTCTTTGCTCACAGACATAAAACTGAATGATGTTGGCAATTAAAATAAAAACACAGACACATTCAGGCACAAACTTCGCAAAGCTGAGCTTTTCTGTTAACGTAAGCAGAACTCTGATACAAACTTTCCGCAGCTAGCTTCAAACCTGTTTGAGAACTGGGCCTTGCGACACAACGAGAGAGGGGCAAAGCCTGTTCTTAGGCAGACATCAAGGTTAGATAATCAGGAAGGGCCATCCTGGCAGATAAGCGCAGGCTCCCCCAGAACTGGTACAAAAGCTCAGTAGTCGAGGAACATAAATCTTCTGGTAAACCTCTTCCTTGCGTTAGGCCATAAAATAGTGGGGTACCCATGCTCCCCGCTTCTTTTCAATAAAGTAATAACAGGTCCTGCATTACCCCGACAGCAGTTCAGTATTAGCACTGCTGTAAGGGAGGCCCTTCCGATTCCTGCATGAAGGAGGTAGCCAGGAGGGATACCCTGGGGGTACACTGAAGGCAGGGAGAGAAATCAGCTGGGTCCCGAGTTTCAAAACGGTTCCCATTTATCATATTGCACTCACTGCTTAAAGGATGAAATGAGAAGCACAAAGTTCACTTGTACAGTGCTAGACCTAAGGCCGAGCACTAAATCTAAAGCTGCATAAACACTTGTATACAAGGAAGAATATACTACTATGCACGGATTTCAAAAAGTTTTAAATTTCTCATTTTTCAAAGGTCCTTGTGCAGGAAGGGAGGGCAATTATGCTAGCTCATTGACAGACAAGGCAATTCTACAGGGCATGCTGGAGACAAACAATGGAAATTGTATACTGATGTGTTGCTCTTTCTCTTATATACCTACTTGTCCTTGTACCCCACTCCCCAATGCTAGCTACTTCATATATATACACACATATATATGTACATAAATATACATATGTGTATAGTATATAAAATATATACTAAAATATGAGACTAATCCTGTATATATTAGAATGAAAATAATCTGTTTACCTATCAAAGTATTTCTATTTCAATAAATACCCAGACAAAGTTCAAAAATAAAATCAGTCTGCAAAGAGAACTGTGATTATACTTAGGAAAATACAGTTTTCAGGTGAAGTTTTGAATCTCCTATAAGAAAGTACTGTATAGTCTAGGATATTCAACAACTCAGCTTCCTCAGCAAAATGCTTCTTCTCAAATAGGGTAAACGGGATAAAACAAGGATCATATGCACAAATTCACATGATTATACTTAAATTAATCCACAGTTTTTCTGCATGGTCAGATAATTCTACTGAAAATTGAGGAGTGAAGGCATTTCCCTTGTTTTCATTTAAAAATGAATTAACACTTTTAATCAGTACTGAAGGTTATAAACCAAAATGTTTACAGAATAAAACACAGTAAAAATGTAGAGCACGAACCTCCATTAATCCCCTTTCCCTCCCCGCTCCCAGATAAAAGAGACTACATTGAAGTACAAAAGAATGAACAGAACTGTCCTACCAAGCCATGATGTCTTCACTATTTACATCACCTTTGCATTTCAGAAAACATGTACTGACATCACTACAGGATTTTACAAGGCCTCCCTCCTTTTCGCACTACCAGTCCTTTGATGGGATAAAAGGAGGAGCACATCCAAGTTTGGGAGTCCCCTTTAAATATGAATTACCTATTCATAACTGATAATGATCACCAGATACATATCTTCATGGTTCCCATATCATACAGAAGACCTTTTTCCAGATACAATCTGCATGCCAAGATTTTATGACATTTCAGGTGGTTGACTTTAAAGAAAATTAAAATAGCACTTTATAAATCCATTTCATAACCAGTAATTCTGCAGTTTGTAATGGCAAAGCTACACCTTCAACATCTTTTGGAAATCCCGTGCCTCAAGGTCCCACATTTGATCTTCAGCTTTCAAACAAACTTCTATACTTTTAAAAAAAAGTAGTTCTCCAAACTTACGTTGACTTTGAAGCTTTGTACTGAGCCATCCAAAAAGTGGACGTTACAGATTATCTCTGATCGGGTTTTCTCTTTTGGTAGTTCTGATGCTCGTATGTTATTTATCCTCCCACCTAAGGCTCGTAAACGGGAGTTCATAACTATTGCTGAATAACCTACAAAACAAAAATTATGTTTAATAACAGTTCTTATAATTCATTATGTCATCTGTGTTTCTTCAGAGAAACCCACATCATCATGAAGGTCTCATTACACCCCAAATACCTATAGTAACAAATGCTTCTTATATAAAAGTATAAGTTGTAAAATTAGCACATTGTAAAACAGAACATAAATGCATATATAGAGGGGCTTCCATATTCTACATGTACCCAGCTTAACAGAATCACAGGTAACCCCTGCTATGTGTACTTAGGTTAGGTATGGGCCATTGCCTTAGTTTAAATCAGTAAAAAACCCAAACACCTACTATAAAGCAGGAAGGCAATGTCAAGACAAGTCTTTAATCATTTGTAACTAAATAAATCCCTCACCCCTTTATAGATTTCCTACACATTTCTATATTTACTATACAAGTTTCACTATAATAAAACAATTCTGTTTACTCCCAACTGACAAAACAGTCTTGAGTTAATGCAGATCACATTCAATTCAGGAAACATTTGTTTCAGGAATATATATACAAACACCATATGTAAGGCAACCAGAATTAACATTAAAAGCATGTCAATATTTTACAGCCTAACATACATAAATTCATGAAGCCAGAATTTGCATCCAAGAAGAATGTAAAAAAAAAAAAAAAAAAAAAAAAAAGGAAGTTGTTTTGTTTGAGTTCGGTTTTTTCTTTTTTGGAAAAATCTTCATGAACACGAAAACTCTGAAAAGAGTTTTCACAAATGAAAAAAAAAACCAAAAACCAACACCAACCAAACCCCAACAACAAAAACCCCCACCAAACAGAAAAAAGCCATTCATTGAAATAAGGGATGAATTAAATACAGTCAAGCCTGTAAACATTTCAGGCCTCTCTTCACTGGATCAGTTTACCAATTAACATCACAGCATATAAAGCCAGTTGGCAAGCGAAGCAGAGGATAGTTTTCCAGGTTAATTACCATACCAATTACCAAATCATACCTCACTTACTAGAGGCTAGCTACAAAGAGACTTGCATAATATGAGTGTTTCCCAGACAGCTGGCCAAGTTAGACAGGAGCAACGCCAGGACTATTTTGCAACCTCCCCTTATTTGTGTATCTGCCTTAAAACATAGGCTGTCTTGTCTTTCAAGCAGCTAAAGAAACTGAACAATTTAGAATAAAATCACTTACAATTCTGAAACATCATATCTACTCACACATCACTACAAAAAGCAAATGTGAAATGCATGAAGAGCCACGAGATGTAAAATTGTATAGACTACCAAAGGCAACAAAGCAGCGCAGTGACCCATCCTCACATAACAAAGTGTAATCTATACTTGGAACCAGCTAAAACCATTCCCTTCTCACAGAAAACTCAGAAGTCAGACACAGAAAAGCATTCAGCAAGTACTCCTGAATTCTTTTTTTTTTTTTTGTCAGGCAATTGATAGTTTGCTACTCTATATTTTCTGACATCAAAAGTGTACGTAAGTTGCCAAGACTCACTTATTTAACCAGAACATTGCATTTTCTCCTAGGAGACGATCAGTATTTTCCTTCCATTCTCTCCCAAAAGTGTGGTTTTGGGGGCTTGGTTTTTTTGTTTTTAAAGGAGGGGGAAAAAAGGAAGAGGCGATCTTTAGGTGAATTCTGAACAGTATTTCCACATAAAACACTATGCACTCCTATTGCTTTGAAATTGTTCGGTCTGCAGTTAATCACAGTAAATTGATTTTTTTTTATCTAGAAAATGGGCTTTCTTATTCAGGAATAGTTAGTGTGAAAGAAAACATGCAGCTATCTAATTATCAAGGACATACAAAAAGGTGAAGACAGATTACGACTGTATATGAAATCTTCATTCTTGCATTCTCTAATTTTCTAGCAGCTGAGTTTTAAACTATTTATTCTGCACTGTGTTATCTTTTACCAAAAATCCAGGTGACTACATGAATTATACTGCAGTCTTTTCTCCCCTTTCTACCCTCAGAGGTTTAAAAAAAAAAAAAAAAAAACCAAAAAAACCACACACAACCCCACACACACCAACGAACCCCACCACCACCACGCACAAAAAAAAACAACCAAAACTTTTCACTTGCAGAAATAGCTTTCTACCCACTAGTCCGCTGATGGGTAAAAGGAGAAAGTTATTCTTCGTTGTGGGACAGCCACTAGATGAGAACAAGTTTTTAGTAGCCAAACTCAAAGCTTTGTCAGCCTGTCACACTCAGGCCTTCCGGGCTCAGTGTGCATTGCGATGCCTAACACTCCTGGAGCTTATGGATTTCTCCACTCTTGGGAAAATGCTATTTGACCCTTCTGCTCATATTCTCCAACCTTTCTCAGCTGCCACACCCAATGCTTCCTATCTTACACTTCCACTATTCCTTTTTCTAAGTATATTCTACTCTTCTGCCTTAGCCAGGCTTCAGCAGAGAGCAACAATCACAGGAGTCTCCAGCACTCAGCTCCTGATCTGCCTGGAGAAAGCAAGAGAATCTCATTCAGCCCCTGCACTCCTAGTGCAGAGCATGATGCAGGTCGAGCCATGCTTGGAGACCTTGCAGAAATTTTGATCTCTAATCCTCATCACTCTCCATCAGAACATTATTTTTTTCAAGTGTTATAATATAGCTAGAACTTGCTACTCACTTGTTCAAGCTTCAAATATAGAAGCCAATAAAATAGCATCAGTAACAATTTTATATACATACACACACTTGCTATCCAGAAAAAAAAAAAACCACACAAAAAACCCAAACCACCCAAACCAAACTCTTTTGTAACTGTGGAAAAATAAACCTGTATGAACAAATTGATGATTTTTATTTAACTGACTGTGCATAGCAGCACAAGTAATTACAGGTCCATTTCATACCAAGGTCCCTCTCTGTAGAAAGCCTAGCATGTCACCTGGATAACTTAGTCCATACTTGAGGTAGATCTGGTAGGCTAGGTTTAATTTTCAGATTATGGTCCCCTATGTTCTTCATAACTTAAACCCCTAACTTTTCTTCTCCACTTGCGCATCAATTTCTACATGAAATCCAACCATTGCCCCTGATAACCCATATTATACTCTCTAAACCCAAGCCCAAGTTTCTGTTGAATGCTCTCAACTAGACACAAGAGGTGACAGGAATTTCACCCTAAAGCTGTCTGAGACAAGGATGAAATTCCATTTTGAAATTTTTCACAAAATAACAAGAATTGTGAATGCTAGCAAAGAGATCATACGATATGCATTTTATCGCTGAACTTCCACATGTCCTCCCGCAAGTCAGACCTGCTCTTTTCTATGCCATAAACCTGTTAACAGTCCGTCTCCCAGCATCCACAGAAGCTATCCAAGAACTAACAGTAACACGTACTTATATACTGCTGTTCACCATAGGATCAGAGAGGTGATTAGTTTTAGGTTAGTTACAGGTGTTTTTTATGCTATTTCTTCACAGCTACATTTGCTTTAATATCTTCAGGTTATATGCGGGATGCCCCAACTGAAATAGTAACTCAGAAACTCATCACAAGAAATTCAAATGTGCTAGTGTGACGAATTTGCATCGAGTTCACAAATGAAAACTTGGAATTCCTCGATTTTTACAATTTTATGTAAAATCAAACCACTAACAGTCAGAGTTCATGGTTTGTGTTTACAGTGTGCAAAGAGCCCCAGCTGAGGCTATCCTTGACAGAGCCAGCTGACCATGGAAACTGTGCCAAGGCCAGGACAAATGGCTGAGTGTTTGGACACCACAGCCATTAGTCAACTAGAGCTCAAATGGCCTAATCAAGCCCCAGAAAAGTGCCACCAGCTGGGAGCCCTGAGCAGAGAAAGCCAGACTCTCTACTTCCCACCTAGATGGCCTTCAAGGTTACTGTGCAGACAGTAAGCTCCTGAAGGAGCTATTTTACAGGTGTCACGCCACAGGCACCAGCCTACGTCATTTTGCATGTCCTAGCCTAACATGCTACACACTCAGCAAGTCTGTAAGGAAACAACTTTGCGAATCCCTAATCTGAAAGGCAAGGGAAGGAGAACAGAAGAGGTGAGCAGCTGAGTTATTAGCACCTGCTCTACTATTTCTCCTCCATATATGACCTGCGTTTAAAGCTGCATTTTAAATAGGCCCAGATTACTGAAATAGCTTATCAACCCCGTGCAATAAAGGGGTACATGGAAGCACATAAACAAATCTGCAATGGCAACCGCTTTTGGGATAGGCGGAGCATCACTGAGATCTCAGGCAAGACCAGATGCCGGCTCTAAACACCAGTGATCAGTCTCCAGCCCTGAGTAGCCAGGACCAGCCATTACATGCAAAGCCCAGCTCCAGCTTTGTAGCCTTGGGCAGGAGACTAATTCACAAAGCAAAACAAAGAACTAAATAAGACAAATTTAAACATTATTAATAAGAGAATTCTATAACAATTATTCCCCTTTCCCTAAAATAAGCATCATGAACCCAGAAAATTGAGAGTAATATTTTAATTAAAAAAACCAAACAAAACCACCCCCAAAACACAGTTATTTTCACTCTAAGGTATAAAACAAAGATGTGGAATTCCATCCCATAATCAAACCATGCAACAGTCTTACAGGAGCAAACTACACAGCTACAGAAAGAAGTTAATGTTTTCCAAGCACATTAAACACGTTTCTGGACAAGTTTGGTTATGCATGCCTTCTCCTACAATAACACTGCAGTCAAGCAGAACAAAAATAATGTGTTTTCCTCATCTTCTGTATTGAAAACTGACTTTTTAAAAGACCTATTCCATGCCAGCAATTAGTTTCTTTCCAAATCACTTAGGAATTTTCAGTAAAGAAACTTGGGACCTGATTCTCAGTATAATTACCATTAATGTGTTTGTCACCAAGGAATTAAATCAAGAGAAGATTTGCTGAGTATATTATACTCAAGGACCTTCTACATATAATGACACCTTATATAACTGAATATTTTTTTAAAAAAATAAATCATTCAC